CTAACGCTAGACCTAGGACTAGAATCATTTGGGTTTAGCCGTCTTTAGAGACGTGTGGCTAAACCCAAATGATTCTAGTTCTAGGTATGGTGTTAATTCTACATAGTAATAATGCTAGTCTAAAACTAGAACTAACACTAGACCAAGAACTAGAATCATTCGGGTTTAGCCATCTTTAGAGACATGTGGCTAAACCCAAATGTTTCTAGTTCTAGGTATAGTATTAATTCTAGATAGTAACAGTGCTTATGCAAAAAACTAGAGTTAACACTATACCTAGAACTAAAATCAATTGGGTTTAGCCGTCTTTAGAGACGTGTGGCTAAACCCAAATGATTTTAGTTCTAGGTATAGTGTTAGTTCTACAGAGTAACAGTGCTGATGTGAAACTAGAACTAACACCATACCTAGAACTAGAATCGTTCGAGTTTAGCCGTCTTTAGAGACGTGTGGCTAAACCCAAATGATTCTAGTTCTAGGTATAGTGTTAGTTCTACATAGTAACAGTGCTAGTGTGAAACTAGAACTAACACTGTACCTAGATCTAGAATCATTTGGGTTTAGCCGTCTTTAGAGACGTGTGGCTAAACCCAAATGATTCTAGTTCTAGGTATAATATTAGTTCTACATAGTAACAGTGCTAGTGTAAAACTAGAACTAACACTATACCTAGAACTAGAATCATTCGGGTTTAGCCGTCTTTAGAGACGTGTGGCTAAACCCAAATGATTCTAGTTCTAGGTATAGTGTTTATTCTACATAGTAACAGTGTTAGTGTAAAATTAGAACTAACATTACATCTAGAACTAGAAACATTCATGTTACGTGGGACAATGTAAGTAATTTCGTAACTATGGTTACTACATTCATATATTGCTAGTAAAATGAAATTCCTGGTATAATCATTAAAAACTTCAAAATTAATTATTTTAATCTATGAACTTTTCCCCGGCACTTGTGGTCCATTAAAAGCGTTATATTCAACACATCTCGATGGATCAGTTGGAAAATATTCCTGGCATTTCGTCATTAACCTTTTTAAAGCTTGAATGTATTTTCTTTGCGTTTCATCGTTCATTACATGCGCAACATTCTTTGAAAAGATTTTTTCTCGGCCTGTTCTCGCGTGAATACCCACCATCGTCACACCGATTGGCCAAGGAGCATTTCCAATAGCCATTTGAAGATACGCATCGCTTGCCTTTAAATAGTTACGGTGCAATAAATGTTCCACAATTTCCGTTAAACTGTCAGAGATATCTTCGGGTAATGTAAATGTTTTTAATTTTTTTAATAAAGGTTTTAAATAGACTTTCGTTTGAGCGTAAATAGCGCCTGCCAATTTTCCTTTTGTTCCCATTTTTTCTTCCGGGGGACGATTTTGTAATTGATCTTGCCACATTTTTAACATAAACTGAAAACATAAATGAAATAATTGTAGTTTTATGTTTATTTAAAGTTTTATGATAATATAATTTAATACAACTTAACTTTGTTTGGTTTCTTTAAAATAACTTCAAAGAAATTGAGGTTATGTTTACTAATTTTAAGTTGGTATTAATTTTTAAATCGCAAATTTAATTGTTAATTCTTTTAAATTAAAATTTAATCCAATTTTGTTATTTACACAACTTTTTCTTCGTTTTAAACTTTATTTTTATTTATATTTTTGTTAAATATCAATTTTTATTAAAAAAAAATTAATTTTTTTAAAGTTGGTGGTTAATAAAGACATAACCTAACCTATGAACATAACCTACAAGAATTTAATGTTAAAATAAAAACTATTATATTAGTTATGATAATGATAATAAAAGATGATGACGGAGTTAAAATCACATCAAATTGACGATAGATAACAAAGATAAGACGTTATCTTTAAAAGGATGAGAAAAAAGTAGATTTTTTGAGTTCATATCCCAATAAAATGGAATCGAGTAACTATGTTGCCGTGACGGTTCCTTTTATAGCGATATTATTAGTTTTGGGTGTAATGTTAACAATTTTTGAAGTGAGAAGACGAAAAATGCAAGATTTCGTTAATAAAGGTAAAAAAAAATAACATTTCAACGTAAATAACAAAAAAAAATTAGGTTATAGATTCCTCGTTAATCCAAACGGAAGAATAATAGCGACGATACCCCCAAACGATGGGCCAACGTCAATAACATCACTTCCAGGTATTTATTATTACATTCATAAAATTATAACCTCAAAAAAATTTTTTAGGCGCACAAATTACACCTAATAATGTAAGATTCTAAAGATATTGAATCGGAAATTATAAATTAATCTATTTAAGATGTATTGTGATAAACCTATTTAAATTATAAGCACAATAAAACCTCATTTTTTATTACTTGTTTTTATTGATATGTTCTGATTATCTCTCCATGAAGTGATAAGATAAAGTTGATAGGGGCCAATTGAAAATTTTTCACTTGACGATAAATAATTCAATGCTAAGTATAATTTGAGAACATGGATTCCTATTATATTTGTATTATTATTTTGGGCCCTTTTACTTTGGGCGCGATGATTTCAGCATCGATTTATATGAAAGTACAAGCAAAAAGGCTCTCAGAGGAAATTCAACGAAAAGGTTTAGTTATTTATTCAGTTCCGATTTTTGTAACTGGAGGTTTACGAGAGGAAAATAGACCACCTTTAATTTCTCCAATAACAGGTTAGATTACTAATTAATTAATTTTGTTTGATTAATAATTTTTTTGTTAGGTTTACCTCCACCACCTCCGTACTCGAGGAATCAACCAACGACTAATCAACGTCAACAAATTAATGAGACATATTCAAATGGACCACCTCCTTTATATAATAATAATCTCGATCCCGGATTTAGAGTTCCGATAAATCCCCCTGCTTATGATGATACTCAACATCAAACCATCCAAATTAACGAACTACCCAGCAGAAATTAAAATAAATAATAGTATATTATTATACGAGCATATAATGAGGGCTATTATTCACTAAGGTTAAGTTTATATCATGAGATAAATTTATATTTTTAAATAAATTTTTGAATAAAGTTTAAACGTCAATGTGAAAGAAATTTAATGTTACCAACTGTAACCAACTTCACAACAATTTGTCAAAATTAAATGTCAATTTTATGAAACGTAATTTAATTAATTTATGCTTAAATCATACAGTGATACAATAAACTCTACATACATCCCAGAAAATGATAATATCTCGTCCCTTCAAATGTAATTCAATGAATTTTTTAAATGAAGGATATTAGGAGTCTATATTATTTTAATACAAAGTCGAAATAGTTCGACTTGTGCTACGAAGTGTTAGTTCTAGTTTTAGTTCAATAAAAATATACAACATAGTGATATCTTATGCTAACTAGCGCTACTTACCACTGTCTCTAGAACTAACATTTGACCTAGAACTAGAAACATTCGGGCTTAGTCGCACGTCTCTCAAGACGGCTAAACCCGAATTATTCTAGGTCTAGGTCTTATGTTAGCTCTAGTGATTGTGTTAGTGCTAAACTAGGTGAGCTTGGACTTGCCGTAAACTAGTCCTTATACATTTAGACAAGTGTTTAATGATTATCAACTACTTTTCAGTCATTTTGAGCAACATGGATTGTTTAAAAACTAGTTGTTAATGATTTAGACAAGTATAAAATTATGCTCAATCAATTTTCAATTATTTTGAATAACATGAGATAGCTATGAACCTAGTTCGAAACATTTTGCTGCCTTATAAAGCAATTTTGGACAATGTTGGTGCAGTTTTCAGTTATTCTGGGCAACCTAAACTTGCTATAAACTAGTCCTTATACATGTAGAGAAGTTTTTAATGAGTATCAACTAGTTTTCAGTCATTTTGAGCAATATGGATTGTTTAAAAACTAGTTGTTAATCATTTAGACGAGTATAAAATTATGCTCAACCAATTTTCAATGATTTTGAATAACATGAGATAGCTATGAACCTAGTTCGAAACATTTTGCTACCTTATAAAGTAATTTTGGACAATGTTGGTGCAGTTTTTAGTTATTCTGGGCAACCTAAACTTGCTATAAACTAGTCCTTATGCATGTAGACAAGTTTTTAATGATTATCAACTAGTTTTCAGTCATTTTGAGCAACATGAATTGTTTAAAAACTAGTTGTTAATCATTTAGACAAGTATAAAATTATGCTCAACCAATTTTCAATGATTTTGAATAACATGAGATAGCTATGAACCTAGTTCGAAACATTTTGCTACCTTATAAAGCAATTTTGGACAATGTTGGTGCAGTTTTCAGTTATTCTGGGCAACCTAAACTTGCTATAAACTAGTCCTTATACATGTAGACAAGTTTTTAATGATTATCAACCAGTTCTCAATGATTTTGAACAACATGAGATGACTATGAACTTATTTCTAATCATTTTGAACAATTTTGCTACCTTATAAACCAATTTTAGACAAAGTTGGTGCAGCTTTCAGTCATTTTGAGCAACCTGGACTTGCTATAAACTAGTCCTTGTACATTTAGACAAGTTTTTAATGACTATCAACTAGTTTTCAGTCATTTTGAGCAACATGGATTGTTTAAAAACTAGTTGTTAATGATTTAGACAAGTATAAAATTATGCTCAACCAATTTTCAATGATTTTGAATAATGCATGAGATAGCTATGAACCTAGTTCGAAACATTTTGCTACCTTATAAAGCAATTTTGGACAATGTTGGTGCAGTTTTCAGTTATTCTGGGCAACCATACTTGCTATAAACTAGTCCTTATACATCTAGACAAGTTTTTAATGATTATCAACTAGTTTTCAGTCATTTTGAGGAACATGGATTGTTTAAAAACTAGTTGTTAATCATTTAGACGAGTATAAAATTATGCTCATCCAGTTTTCAATGATTTGGAATAACATGAGATGGCTATCAACTTATTTCCAATCATTTTGAACAATTTTGCTACCTTATAAACCAATTTTGGACAATGTTGGTGCAGTTTACAGTTATTCTGGGCAACCTAAATTTGCTATAAACTAGTCCTTATACATGTAGAGAAGTTTTTAATGATTATCAACTAGTTTTCAGTCATTTTGAACAACATGGATTGTTTAAAAACTAGTTGTTAATCATTTAGACAAGTATAAAATTATGCTCAATCAATTTTCAATGATTTTGAATAATATGAGATAGCTATGAACCTAGTTCGAAACATTTTGCTACCTTATAAAGCAATTTTGGACAATGTTGGTGCAGTTTTCAGTTATTCTGGGCAACCTAAACTTGCTATAAACTAGTCCTTATACATGTAGAGAAGTTTTTAATGATTATCAACTACTTTTCAGTCATTTAGAGCAACATGAATTGTTTAAAAGTAGTTGTTAACGATTTAGACAAGTATAAAATTATGCTCAACAAGTTCTTAATGATTTTGAACAACATGAGATGACTATGAACTTATTTCTAATCATTTAGAACAATTTTGCTACCTTATAAACCAATTTTAGACAATGTTGGTGCAGTTTTCAGTCATTTTGAGCAACACAAACATGATACGTTTAATTCCAATATTACTCGAGATATAAGCAACTTCCGGTATTTTTATTGAGCTATAACGGACACTGATATACTTTTTTTTTAGGACTGTATGTAGACCTTTTTGAGTTGAAGATATGATTATGTTTTGTGTTCCCCTTGATTAATAATAGCTTATATAGTTTTTATGTAAAATATGGAAATAATATGGACTTCTTACATGTTTTGTTAAAAAATTTCATTGAATTACATTTCGGCAACTGAGATATTATCATTTCCCGGGCTGTATGTAGACTTTATTGTATCACTGTACGAAAAAAGGAATTAAAACTAGAACTAACGTTTAAACTTCAATGTGACATAAATTCAATGTTACCAACTTCACAACAATTTGTCAAAATTAAATGTCAATTTAATGAAACGTCATGTTTTCTTACAAAAAATAATTAATTTATGCTTAAATCATACGAAAAAAGGAATATGATTCCATAAATTTATTTTTTTTTTAATTTTTGAATAAAGTTTAAACGTCAATGTGAAATGTGACATAAATTCAACCAACTGTAACTAACTTCACAACAATTTGTGAAAATTAAATGTGAACTTAATAAAAGATCATGTTTTTTTTCACAAAAATTAATTAATTTATGCATAAATCATATGAAAAAAGGAATTTGTTTACGTTTTTTTAATGTCAAACCTTTAAAAAGTCCTAAAAAAATTAAATTAAATTGACGTTTTTTGAAATTTTGATGTTTCAAATAATTATTATTCTGAAATCAAATATTTAGTTTGTCAAGTTGATTATTACCCGCAAATAACTCATTTATAAGGTAGTAGTGGATAAAAATAATATTTAATCATACCTCAATAAATTTTGTAATAACCGTCATATCATGGTCCCGATTACCACAACCCATCTTCCTAGCCATCTCCTGTATATCCTCATAATTCGCTTCTTGTTCTTGATCAACATTTGAGTCCTTATTACGTTCGTTTTTACCCTCACTCGAAATTAAGAGCTCATCTAAATAAGCTTGATCAACTTTTTCCATCGCCTCTTGAAAATCATTTCTAAATCCTCGGTTTACTTCCGGTTCTAATATTTCGCAGTGTCTTAATCGTTTAAACGAATCAATTTGAGACTCTCCAAACAATAAAATTGGTTCACCACGATCTCGAAGTTTCGATATGACTTCGTGACGAGGTGGGATATGATCGGGGGTGTTTTCGTAGGAATTTTCTTCCGGACGTTTCTTTTTCGTTGTTAATTCTTCTTTGGGGGCTGTACCGTATTTGTCTTGGTACTTTTCATTTTCTTTTGCTAATAAATCACCTCTTTTGAAACATTTTTTATTTGAATCCTAAAATGAGGTTATGTATATAACTAGCATGTTTGGGGGTTATTTTGTTACTTACGATTAGTTGTTTTTCTTCTAATAATTTACGTTTTTTTGCGATTTCCGCTTTTAAAATATCCATTTCTTTAAAACATTCCAATACAATTGTTGAGGTTATGTTTACTACTTTATCAACCATCAAAGTGAAGTTGGAGTTATTGATTTTTCTTTCTATAAATATTATTTAATTTTTAATAAACTAAATCGATTTATTTATACAAATTTGATTAATTAATTAGGAAAGATTAATTAAATCAAATTAATTAAAAATGTCGAAAAACAATGTTGTGATTTTAGNCCAAACATGATACGTTTAATTCCAATATTACTCGAGATATAAGCAACTTCCGGTATTTTTATTGAGCTATAACGGACACTGATATACTTTTTTTTTAGGACTGTATGTAGACCTTTTTGAGTTGAAGATATGATTATGTTTTGTGTTCCCCTTGATTAATAATAGCTTATATAGTTTTTATGTAAAATATGGAAATAATATGGACTTCTTACATGTTTTGTTAAAAAATTTCATTGAATTACATTTCGGCAACTGAGATATTATCATTTCCCGGGCTGTATGTAGACTTTATTGTATCACTGTACGAAAAAAGGAATTAAAACTAGAACTAACGTTTAAACTTCAATGTGACATAAATTCAATGTTACCAACTTCACAACAATTTGTCAAAATTAAATGTCAATTTAATGAAACGTCATGTTTTCTTACAAAAAATAATTAATTTATGCTTAAATCATACGAAAAAAGGAATATGATTCCATAAATTTATTTTTTTTTTAATTTTTGAATAAAGTTTAAACGTCAATGTGAAATGTGACATAAATTCAACCAACTGTAACTAACTTCACAACAATTTGTGAAAATTAAATGTGAACTTAATAAAAGATCATGTTTTTTTTCACAAAAATTAATTAATTTATGCATAAATCATATGAAAAAAGGAATTTGTTTACGTTTTTTTAATGTCAAACCTTTAAAAAGTCCTAAAAAAATTAAATTAAATTGACGTTTTTTGAAATTTTGATGTTTCAAATAATTATTATTCTGAAATCAAATATTTAGTTTGTCAAGTTGATTATTACCCGCAAATAACTCATTTATAAGGTAGTAGTGGATAAAAATAATATTTAATCATACCTCAATAAATTTTGTAATAACCGTCATATCATGGTCCCGATTACCACAACCCATCTTCCTAGCCATCTCCTGTATATCCTCATAATTCGCTTCTTGTTCTTGATCAACATTTGAGTCCTTATTACGTTCGTTTTTACCCTCACTCGAAATTAAGAGCTCATCTAAATAAGCTTGATCAACTTTTTCCATCGCCTCTTGAAAATCATTTCTAAATCCTCGGTTTACTTCCGGTTCTAATATTTCGCAGTGTCTTAATCGTTTAAACGAATCAATTTGAGACTCTCCAAACAATAAAATTGGTTCACCACGATCTCGAAGTTTCGATATGACTTCGTGACGAGGTGGGATATGATCGGGGGTGTTTTCGTAGGAATTTTCTTCCGGACGTTTCTTTTTCGTTGTTAATTCTTCTTTGGGGGCTGTACCGTATTTGTCTTGGTACTTTTCATTTTCTTTTGCTAATAAATCACCTCTTTTGAAACATTTTTTATTTGAATCCTAAAATGAGGTTATGTATATAACTAGCATGTTTGGGGGTTATTTTGTTACTTACGATTAGTTGTTTTTCTTCTAATAATTTACGTTTTCTTGCGATTTCCGCTTTTAAAATATCCATTTCTTTAAAACATTCCAATACAATTGTTGAGGTTATGTTTACTACTTTATCAACCATCAAAGTGAAGTTGGAGTTATTGATTTTTCTTTCTATAAATATTATTTAATTTTTAATAAACTAAATCGATTTATTTATACAAATTTGATTAATTAATTAGGAAAGATTAATTAAATCAAATTAATTAAAAATGTCGAAAAACAATGTTGTGATTTTAGGTTGGTAATAAGTTAAAAAAAATACGATTTTCTTTTTATTTAACTGTTTTTTAGATTGTTAATACATTACGTTATTAAAATTGCATTAAAACTTGAAAATATGGGAAATTAATTTGATAAAATAGACAAGTTGAATGATGTTAAAAAGTTTTGACAGAGTGAAGTTGTAGATTTTCCCGACGCCCATCGCACTTTAATGCCTGATGTAATATGTGTAATGGACTTTCGTTTATAATGGAAAAGAGAACGAGAGCAAAAAGCAAAAAGGGCGTCACGATCGCGCGCTTTCCCCCAAAAAAAAACTATGCCCTTAAAAAAAGCACAAAAAAATGCGTCAGTTATCCGTTGTATTCGACTCGTTCGGATTGCGTTTCCCGTTTAGAATTTGCTCAACCAGAACGGATTTGCGACGTACAATTTAACGGTGTAAGTAAATTGAGGCGTTACTAATAAACCTCGTTAAAAAGTAAATTTTGAAAATTAAATATTATTTTTGTAGATTGGTATTTTAGATTTGACATCTTATAATTTGACGTTTTGAAATTTGACGTTTCAAAATTTGACGTTTCAACAATTTAATCATAAAATTCAAATAAAATTTATGGGATTTACATAGTTTAAATTGGAATTTAGAAAAGTTATAAATATAACAGTTATAAATTTTGATTAGAGAAGTTTTGAGTTTAAAATATTCTGGTGGTGCGAATGAGCAACAAAGGGTTGGTGGGTTTGTAGGATGGGAGATATAATAAAACCGGTAAATCGTCATTAAACCAAATTTAATTAATGAAGTCGATATGAGGTGGTATTCCCGTCGCGCCGGTCGTAAATATTTTAGCGCAGCCCGCACGGTCATCTGGTCCCGCGGGTGATCCTGCAGGATACTCGGCTGGCCCCGGGACTACGGACCGTGATCAACAATTTATGAACAGGCCGTGGAACCCATGTCTCTGTTTCTGCCAATTTATTCGACATAAAATGTCCAAAAAAAGAAATAAAAATATTAAAAAAACACCTCTACATATGTATGTATAAATACACCATACACGCGATAATAATTTCATGAAAAACTTTAAATGAAGATTTATGGAATTGCGTACATATTGGTAGATAAATTATGATTATTTTTTCCATGGAAAATACATAATTAATGTTATGAATTGTCAATAGCATGGAACAATTTCCGAGTCGCTGAGCGAACGAGGACAATTTATATTAAAATGATGATATATTTTATTCATAACAATATTATTGCTAACAAGTATATATTGATTAACCACACATATTCCATTATGTATATTTATACAAATTCTAACGGTTATTACTATCTACAAACATTGTACCTAACATAATGCATTTCGCCCCATCAGATTGACATCCACTGAATCGCCACCAGTACGCTTATCAAACGGGAAAGTCAACAGAATTGGCTCTGCACAGTTTGGATGCTCCAGGATAAAGAGGTGTTAAACAACGCAATACCACAATCTCTTGAAAGAGCTGCTCTTGACAGGGGAATCCAAGATCCGTAATATGTTTGATACGAACTTAAAAATTTATTTCTCAACGTTTAAATATGTTGTGTCAATTTTAAATGTTTAATAATCGCTTCCACGTAAAAGTTAAACCGATGGAAGTAAAAAGTTGTAAATAATTTTCTGTTTGTCCATCACTTTGTTGCGAGGTCCAACCCGTCTGGTTAAAACTGGGGGGGATGAGGTAAAACTAGACGATGCCGGAGCTTGCAAAGCTCGTAAAATCGCTGCCCCGGTGCTCTCTTATTTGTTTTATTCAAAAAGCGGCCGGTCCGACACGCTCGGCTGTTCCGTCCACGATAAACTATTGATACTTGGACTTTGTGACGGCCTTTCGCTCGCATAATCGAATTGCGGCCTCTAGAGCGGACTTCCGGTCCAACAGCTGCCCAACAACTGACGCGTAAGGACGCGAATTTATTGTATTCGACCTTTTCTAGAAATGAATTTTCTAAGGGAGTTGAAAAGAAATGTTTCTAAGATTTTTTTTTTGATAAAAAAAACAAGATTATTTAAGATTCAGGGATTTGGCTAACAATGAAACCAAAAAATAAAAACCCAAGTTCAATAAAAGGAGAGTTTTCCAAAGAGTTGTGCCTTTTTAAATAAAATAAAAGCTAGACTAGTTTCTAGTTCTAGGTCTAGTGTTAGTTCTAGTTTTACACTATCACTACAACTAATGCTTAAACTTCAATGTGACATAAATTCAATATTACCAACTGTAACCAACTTCACAACAATTTGTCAAAATTAACTGTCAATTTAATGAAACGTCATGTTTTAAAATATGAACCCAAGTTAAATAAAGACAGAGCAAAGTAGAGTGAAAAAGGAAGACTATGAGAAAATATATGCGATTTGGAGCTCAGAATTAATAGCTAGAATACAGTCAAATCTAGGTGTATTGTCACCGAGTAGCAGAGTATAAGTCTATATAAAGACTACTTCAGTGGATTAGCTCTATATCCAATGTAAGTCAAAAAGAATCTTCTGTATCAGATAGCTTTTATTTGGTTTTTGACTGGCTTGGGTCTGGGTGAACTGGACTTTTCTTAGGTGGTTTGGGTATTTTGGTCTGGCTTGGGTTGAGTAGTGAATCAGTTCGGTTTGGTTTGGGTGTAGAAGAGTTAGATTTGTTTTAATTGTGGATCAGATTGATTCTGTATGGTGTGCGACTTTGGTTATTTTTGAACTAGGCTGCGCTTAGGCGATTTGAGTCTGGATGCGTTAGATTTGGTCAAGGATTAATTGAGGTTGCTTTGTATACGCAAAGGTTGAACTTGATTTGGCTGTGAATCAGGTGATTGATACTGATTTGGGTATAGGAGCTTTAGTTAACCGATTTGGGTTGGGCACGATATAAGTGTGATGGTTTGGATGAGTAGGATTTAACCTGGTTTGAGTTAGAATTAAGATGTACATTGTACGGCGTTTTTTGTAGGCGACCGTATTGAATGTCTTCTGCAGCTGTCAGCTAAATTCATATATTTATCCATCTGAATTTAGCCAAGGCCTAATTAAACGTTGCAATATGTTTCTGTCTCTTCTTAGCAGGTCTTCTTCAATATTGTATCAATGAATCCACTAATGCAACAACTGCTAAACAAATGGGAGTACTCGTAGAGACTTCTCTGAAATGGAATGCACAGCTACATGAAGTTGGAAAGAAACTCAATTCAGTAGTTTTCCAGTTAAGAACAGTGATGAGATTGACAGATCAACATACAGCAATGGTGGTGATTTACTCGAATTTCCAAAGCATCATGTCTTATAGTGCGTTGTTCTAGGGAAATTCCTCAGGAGTTGAACGACTATTTATAATACAAAAAAGAGCAGTTAGAGCGTTGATGAATGCAAATCAAATGGAGAGGTGTAAACCATTGTTTAAAGAATTAAAAATAATGACTGTTGCTGTATACCTATAATAGCTCTATAAATAACAGCAGATGAAAACAAAATGGGTCGAATTAGAAACAAAACTATAAGAGACGATTTAGAATAAATACTGCTAGTAACTGAAATAGGAAACAAACAACTGAGCTGGTCTCGACACCTAGTCGGAATGGCAGAAGAGAGAATTTCCAAAATAGTTGGAAAATGAAGAAGAGGGAGGCCAAGGATAAAATGGGAGAATGGAGTGGAGGAGATGGTGCGCAAGAAATGAAGAATATGGCATGAAACATACGTAGTGCGGGGCTAATGGTTTGATAGTAGCGAGAGGAAGTTTTAGGAAAACCAATGTCTTCAACAACAAAATTTTATTTACAACAATAATAACAATAATGTAAGTGCGGACGCGAAAAGGGTAACTGCTGACTGATCTGCCGATGGGAACTGCTAACTGATAAGTGATGGTAACTGGTGGTAACTGAACTCTCCGGGCCGATCCTGGTTCCTTTTATCCCCGAGTCCAGTAACATCCCCGGTGAAAGTTCTCTTCGAGTCCTTATCTGGACCAAAAGGATCTGCTGTCCAGATGTACGGAGAGAGTTCTTCTGAATTGTTTCGAACGCTTTCTGGCGTCCAGATGTTCGCCACGGAGAGCGTCCAGTAATATCTCCGGTGAAAGTTTTCCGGGAACCCTTTGCCTGGACCAAAAGGGTGTCCTGCCCAGATGACCGGAGAGAGATTTTTTTGAACGGTTTAAAAAGTTCTCTGGCGTCCAGATGTTCGCCACAGTAGTTTTAAAAGATGGATAGAGGAACCCAACAACACCTCAACGCTATGATGGCATCTAGGGGAAATGAAAAAGAAGAGATAATCCATATCCAGCAACCACCTTTATCCACAATCAGCATCAAAACCCCACCATATATCCAGAACTATTCCAAAAACTATTCCAATGTCAAAAGTATTCCAAGTAATATTACGACATAAATTTGATAATCAAATTTGAAAAATAATAAATATAAAATAATATGTATAGAAAACGATAATTTCATTAAAGTTTTTCGATAAACAGCAGGTGACGTTTTCGTGTCGCCTCCTAGATAATCAAATAATCGCCTTTCGATTGGTTGTGGTATTTGTGAGAGACCCACGCGATATTGTAATTCAATAAAATGTATCACGCGGATGGATAGAAAGCAAATACAGCCCACCAGCGACGACTTTGGCCACAGTTAAACCGTAACTGATTCGATTGCCGCGGTAACTGTTAATTTAGATTTACCCCGTTTGTTTGTCGTAGCGTGGTGTTTGATTTCGTAGTTTGTATCACACTGTATGGAAAAATAGTGCATAAATTCTAAATAAAATGGAAACATTAATATTCAATCAGTAAAAAGTAAAATGAAAAAAAAAACACACACAGGTTTTCATGAATACTAAACCCGAATCTGATCAGTATTCACCATTACTCAATAATTACCTAATTATCATAAACCTCATAGCCGAAAACATCGATCGTTTTGGGGTGCAAAACAACGAATAAAAAAAGGAAAAAAGAGAGGAGCCTCGGTATTGTTTGGGGAGTTTCCGAATTTCCGCGCGTGGCCACCGCTCACGTTCATGATTTATTCACGTTTGTGTACAACTCCGCCGCATTTATGCCTTAAATAATTGATCCGGCAGCTTTTGTCCCCTCCATTTGTACAAATCGATAAATAAACGTAAACAAAAAAATAGTGATGCGTAAAAATGGAATTAAACGTTTTCCTTACTCCAACAAAGTTTTTAAGTTTCCAAAGAGAAACCGAAACCGTCACGTCGCCTGTAATTTTTCACTCCCCCACGTGCAATATCCGAGTCAACTGTCATGTTGCCAGAGTCGTAAATAAATCAGACGATTCCTGTGATTCCTGTATTACGTTCTAACTTCAAGCAATCGTTTCGTCTCTTTTTTAGTTTCTTTTTATTTTGTAAAATTAATATTTCAATTTCCCTTGTGGATATAGATGAAAATTCGTTTTTGAGAAGTTGTTCGATATGGATGTAGCTTTCGAACGGTATCAAGTTATTTCGACTAATTGAACACGCGAAGATTATTCTTATATCCTCATGCAATTTAAGTCAAAAAAATCTTCTGTACCAAAAAGCTTTTATTTGATTTTTGACTGGTTCGGGTCTGGGCGAACTGGACTTCCCTTAATGTGGTTTGGGTATTATGGTATCGTCCACATATCTTGTCCATAGAATTATGTTGTTCATGTATGGATTTCTGTCTTTAAATAGTCCCTTTCACTCGGAGAAGGAAGCTACAAATAAAAGCACCCTCCATTGAAAGCAGAACTATTAACCTCAAAACAGAAACTAAATACCTAGGGGTAATACTTGACAGTAAACTAAACTGGAACTCACACTTAGATAAGGTGAGGAAAAAGGCCACCATGGCAAACCAGATCTGCCGCAGGCTCCTAGGAAGGAACTGGGGTCTCAAACCACGAATGGCTCATTGGGCCTACGTAGCAATAATCGGACCCATGGTCGCCTACGCCTCATTGGTTTGGTGGCCAAAAACAAAACATAAGACAGCTCAACAACAGCTGGCACAAATCCAGCGGTTAGCATGTNCTGTAATTTTTCACTCCCCCACGTGCAATATCCGAGTCAACTGTCATGTTGCCAGAGTCGTAAATAAATCAGACGATTCCTGTGATTCCTGTATTACGTTCTAACTTCAAGCAATCGTTTCGTCTCTTTTTTGGTTTCTTTTTATTTTGTAAAATTAATATTTCAATTTCCCTTGTGGATATAGATGAAAATTCGTTTATGAGAAGTTGTTCGATATGGATGTAGCTTCCGAACGGTATGAAGTTATTTCGACTAATTGAACACGCGAAGATTATTCTTATATCCTCATGCAATTTAAGTCAAAAAAATCTTCTGTACCAGAAAGCTTTTATTTGGTTTTTGACTGGTTCGGGTCTGGGTATTATGATATCGTCCACATACCTTCTCCATAGAATTATGTTGTTCATGTATGGATTTCTGTCATTTATTATTTGCTCTTTCTCAATTTTATTAAGGAAAATATCAGCGAGTACACAATCTCACAATCAATGGTGATCCCATAGGCAGTCCGTCGTTGTATTTGTAAATGGTGTTATTGATTTTGCAGAAGTTTTGTCGGGTGCACTGTTTGAATAGGGCCATAACATTGGTGATATCTTCGGTCTTCATGGTAGTGTTTTGGAGTATTTCTTTTAGTATATTAAGAGTTTCTGTTACTGGTATGTTAGTGTACAAGTTTTTAATATCAACGAATAGAATTTTATAGTGTTTGGGCAAAATTAGATTCTCTATCCTGTTAATCAGTTGGTTACGATTGTTAATAGCGTGTTCTGGACTAAAATTTAAAAAGTTTTTCAAGAAGTTTACGAGTTTTTTGGAAAGGTTATATGTGCTGGAATTAATGCTACTAATTGTAGGTCTAATTGGATATTCCCTCTTATGCAATTTTATCAGCGAGTACAGTTTTGGAAATTGTGGGTTCGTTGTAATATTTATTCTTTTGTTACCTGTGAGTTTATCAACAGTAGCTTCGCAATTTTTAAGCAGTGTATTTGTTTCTCTATGGAATGTCTTAGTAGGATCCCTCTTGATATTAATAAATTTATTTCCTTTTAAAAATTCCTCTGTTTTCCTGATGTATTCTTCTCTAGATATGATAATAATTCCAGCATTTTTATCTCCGTTTGTAATTGTAATATTGTTCTCCTTAATCTTCTGTTTAATCTGCTTGAGAATTATGTTCTCTTGCATGGTCTTTGTATCTTGCGTTACCTTCAAGTGTCTAATGTCCTTCTTAATTCTTCTTTTATAAGAATTTGTTGGATATCTTTACTTAGTTTTTCTTTATCTTTGTGTCCTTCTAAAATGGATTGTAATTCTATAGCTGTTAAGGGTAGTTTAAGTTTTAGTTTATGGGCGTATTTGTGTCTTTTATTCAAGAATTCTTCTTCATCAGCAGAAAATACTACGTTGGACAAATTAGTCACTCTAAGATGAAAGATATGTGAGTTATCGCTTATGTTATCTCTGATCTTCCTTTTGTTTCTCCCCTCTCACTATGTCGAGCTTATTTTTCTTCCTTTTGTAGCTGCCCCTTTAAGAGGTTATCATCATTGAGGTCTTATATATAATCTAGAGAGCGTATGTGGTGGTGGTGGGGGTAATCAGAAAGTCAGACATGTTGGATGTACCGACCTGAACTTAGCTATAGTTTCAAGTCTCTATTGTACCTACAATTATAACCTCACAATTCTCATAAACATATTGTTATTTTTATTAAAATTTGATTTTTGTTGAAAGTTTTCGAATTCTTTTCGTTTCACATATGTTTTTTATAATTTGATACGTTGGACGATTATTTACAACAGTCCATAAAATGTTTCTGGTTACTTGACTTGGAATTAACAATTGAAGACCTCGGTATAAGAAGGGGACAACTCCTTCTCTTGATAAATGGAGCTACTCCCTTCTTGCACCAAGGTCTTCAATTGAAGTTCAAGTAAAGTTTATTATTAAGGACTGTTCAGTTTTTTTTAAATAAACTAACAATTATTTATAAGCAAAGGTTAACGTGATCAATCGGAATTGCTTTAAATATTTTCTTCTTAGTTTTTGTTAATTATAAGGGTTATGGCTAAAAATTATTAAGTTCTTTTAAAATATCGTATAATTATTATATTTTCTGTCTTTCCAGTTTATATTAATGTAAATTCTTGCATAAGTATATATAAGAATTTCGAATTTCCCGCTAAGTTTGTACATCTAACACGGCGACCTTTCTGGCTTCATTTTAGGCGTGGTGGGGACAACAGCATACGCACTCTAGATTATATATAAGACCTCAATGGTTATCATCATGATTCTTCGCATTGGCATGAAATTGCTGATTTGGGTTGGGCATGATTGAGTGTGGTGGTTTGGATGTAGATGTGTTGGTTTAGTCTGCTGGAGCTAAATTCATACATTTATCCTTCTGGGTTTAGCCAAGGTCTAATTAAACGCTGCAAAATGTGTTGTCTAACATTGTATCAAATGGTTATCCTTGGCCGCAAGCAACCTTAGTTTAATTTAGCACAATTATGCATTTTCAAAATTTCGTCCAACTGTCATCATGTTGCCAAAGTCGTAAATAAATCACACGATTCCTGTATCGCATTCTAACTTCAAGCTCTCAATTCATCTCTTTTTTGGCTTCTTATTTTTTTAAATTAATATTTCAGTTTCCCTTGTGAATATAGATGAAAATTCGTTTTTGGGAAGTAGTTCGATATGGATGTAGCTGCCGAACGGTATGAAGTTATTTCGACTAATTGAACACGCGAAGATAATTCTTGTATCCTCATCGATCACACCTCGGCGTATCCTTTGGGGGAGTTGGTAATGGTTCGTTCTCGACCCGCCGTCTCCAGCGCACACAAACCGGTGGCAATCTGTTAAATTTCTACTATAACTGCACGAACGTGCAGATCGTGTTCCAACCCGCAACGTTATATGACTCTAAGACGATATTAAAGGGTCGGATAAACTGAGAGATCCCTTTTAAATTAATAAGACGAAGCAATTTTATTTAAATTAAAATGATGGGGTGTATAAAATCGTTAATATCACACAAAAATAAAAAAAAATTGTGTTAAGAATTATTTGGTGTATTAATGTGTAAAGTGTAGACGGAACTTGAAGACGATGTTCGGTTTCACACATCCACCCCCCTTGAACATAGCAGTAACTTTCTCACATTGCATTATACTCGGGGGTCCGAAATTAGAATACTGCAGGGCCCCGTTCATTATGCATGATGATAGCAATAACTGGGATACATTGTGCAAAGGGAGGGTTTTCCCTCGTCGACACCGCTGCTGCTGTTACCGTCCGGCGAAGCGGAGAAGTAATTGGGTGAAAATTTTATGGTTAATTATTGCCTGGGCCGCACTTGTTCTTGCGGACGTGAATTATGGACGCCCCTGCGAATAATGGACCCACTTACCTGCTACTACCCCGCCAGCCATTCGAGATTGCCGACACGTAAAGAAGTACCAGACCGGGGTTGTTGATATTTCGGAAAAGCCGTGATTACCCACTTTTTAAAGCTGAAAATCGCCTCACCATTCCCATTCCTTTTTTTTTCTTTCTTTTCTTACGTACACGTGAAGACGCCGAGAAGATGTAAGGGACTAATTGCGCGCGGCCCATTTTACTTTCAAACGCGAGCCGGAATTCTTTGTGAGACGAAGTGTTACTTTGATGCGCCGCCAGTCCAGCCCTTAATCGTACCCCGCTCCTCGGTATGCGACGAGAAGAGGCGCCCGAATGGAAAACGGAGAGCTACGGAAAAGTGGAACGGCGAGAAAGGGGGAAGAGCAATGGGCCCGTGCCTCTTTCCACGGCGAATTACCATATATCATTGCCGTTTGACACAAAGGAAGCGGCAGTCGCTCACAATGGCTCCATCTCGCGGACGAGCAAACGCGCCGAAAGGGCCAGCCGGAGCCGAAGAGAAGAATTAGAGCGATGACGCGGAATAATAATTGCTACGATTTTCTGCGTTATTTATCGCGGAGGTCTGTTGGAAATTTGCCAACTTTATCGACAAGTATTTAAATTTTATACAGAATAGAAGCAAATATGAACCACAAAGAAATAAATATTGAGACATATTATCTTGCAGAAAGTAACTAAATATTCGTATAAGGAGGGGAGATTATCATTAAATATTAGGGTTTATGTCACTTATTTTGCATTTTTATCAGTATCAAAAGGGACTTATAAGATTGCTAGATTGAAGTGGACGATTCTTAAAACACCTGATTTATTATAACATATCATATCCACTACATGGATTGGAGTAGAGCTCTTCTGATGTCTTTAAATCAAGAACTGGTGAAATCTTCATGTTGAGAAAATTCTGATGAGGTGTTATGTGATGGTTAAGAATCCACTCCTGCCTAGTCAATATATAAGGAGCTGGGTTAGCTATCAACTTAATCAGGTATTCAGGAATCGGAGACTCTTGATTATTTGAAGTATGCTTATCAAGCGGGAAAATCAGCAGAATTGGCTCTACACAACTTAGTTGGTAGAGTATCCAGGACGCTGCAGGATAAAGAAATCTTGGTTTGTGCGTTTCTGGATATAGAGGGAGCGTTCAACAACGCAATACCACAATCTCTTGAAAGAGCTGCTCTTGACAGGGGAGTGGAAGCAACTATAGCGGGTTGGATCCGCAATATGCTAGATAGTAGAATAGTTTCTACTTCACTCCACGGTGATACGATACGCTTCAGGCCGGGAGGTGGCTGCCCGCAGGGAGGGGTGTTATCTCCCCTGCTTTGGTCCCTCCTAGTTGACGATCTGATTGCGATAGTCGAAGCCGTTGGTGTGGAAATACAAGCTTATGCTGATGACATTGTCGTTATGGTCAAAGGAACCTGTTTGCCGAGGATATCTAAAGTCCTCCAGGTGACCCTAGATACCATTTGCGCTTGGTGTAAGGGAGAGAACCTCTCAATAAACCCGCAAAAGACAATTGTTGTGCCCTTCACCAGGAAGCGAAAGTTGGATGGACTAATCCGCCCAACTATCCAAGGTGAAGAAATTCCTTTCTCAAAGGAAGTCAAATATCTAGGAGTAATCCTAGACAAAACCCTGTCATGGAATGGACATTTGCAGGGAGTTTTGCACAAAGCTAGACTATCCTTGTGGACTTGTCGCAGTCTTTGTGGAAAAAATTGGGGTCTTACCCCTGAAAGACTGTACTGGCTCTATGTGACTGTGGTTAGACCTATGATCACATACGGAGCAGCAGCCTGGTATAGGAAAGTCCGACAGACTTCAGTTATCAGTAAACTTTCACGAATTCAACGAGTAGCTGGATTGGCAATCTCTGGTGCGATAGGCACAACGCCAACTCTAGCAATGGAGGTTCTGCTTGGCCTATCTCCTCTGCATTTGCATATAGAGAAAGTGGCTAGAACAACCATTTACAGATTTAAGCAATATGCTCAAAACTGTTCCGACATGTCCTACCAATGGGCTGCGGAAGACATTATAAGCACTGATACTGTGCTATCAATGCCGTCAGATTTGGCGGTATCACTATCAGTGATTAATGCTCGATACCAGATTGTACTGCCTGAGCGGCAGTCCTGGATCGAAAATGAAAATTCTCTGGTTCGGGCAGACATTTGCTTGTACACAGATGGATCAAAAACGCCTGAAGGGGTAGGAGCAGGAGTATACTGCCAGACACCTCGAATTAAGCAAGCCTACAGCCTGGGTACGTACTGTACTGTATTCCAGGCGGAAGTATTTGCTATTGACATGGGTGCTAAAATCCTTCTTGAAAGAGGGGTGAAGAACATGACAGTACGAATTTTCTCAGACAGTCAAGCCGCTCTCCAGGCGCTGCAAGCCGTGAAAACGGTGTCGGCTCTGGTTAATGATTGTAAGAGAACATTAAACACACTGAGTTGTGATAACAGAGTCTCTCTGATCTGGGTCCCGGGTCACTCTGGGGTTGCTGGCAATGAAGCGGCAGATAAGCTAGCACGAGATGGCAGCGCTGAAGCGTTTGTGGGACCGGAACCAGCAGTTGGTGTATCATTTGCGATGGCCAAATATAGGATTGGACTGTGGGCTGAAGAGAGACTTCGCCTACTGTGGACCAGTTCTCCTGGAATGAGACATGCTAAGGTGTTTATTAACATCGCCACTGTCAAACCCGGGAATATTTTAGGACTTGCCCGTAGTAGCATAAAAGTTCTAATGGGTGTTTTTACTGGGCACTGCCGATTAAAAGCACACCTCAACTTGTTGGGTTTAGCCGACGATGTTGAATGCCGACTATGTGCGGAGGAAGCAGAGACGGTTGAGCATGTTTTATGCCACTGCCCTGCCGTTAACCGTATCAGATTCTCGATTTTTGGGTCGCAGTTTATCTCCTCAAAAGATCTGAATGACCTTTCGCCGAGCAAGGTATTAATGTTCGTTAAGAGCATTGGACTGCACGGTGAAATTTGATAACGATATCTATCGGGGTACAATAGATCCTTAGGGTCGCGGTGCAAGGTTGGTTGGTCCGCCTACCCGATATGTATTCTATGTAATGTAATGTACTCCGAAGCCAAGAAGCATGTGGTTGTATCCATTTCGGGATTTCACATAGTTTCACTGCTGCTCATCAAAGTTACTTTTGATTCTACTACCATGGGATCAATATCTCTAACAAAGTGCTACTCATTTCCCACACCTTTGGCTATGGAAGATCATCACTTAATACTGCCTTATTGTATCGACATGCAACGCTCCATTTTTATCTGTGTTGTTGAAGTATTTATTAGAATATCAGTAGTGCTATAGATATTTAGGCATTTCTCTTCATTCTCACCATCATTAATTAAAACGATACCAACCTCAATGAACATTACTGGACTAGAAATCGTTAGGAAAGCTAGGACACTAAACACTATGTAGAGACTCATGCACCATCATTGATATCCTAGTAACAATAGATAATGAGTCAATAAACCTACCAAAGTCCATATCTATACCCACGACTGGCGAAATTAAAGATCTGAATCCTCAAAATGACCACTAACAATCATTGATATTCCGAACTAATTGTACTAAAAGGTCCAATTCGCTTTAATGCCGATATTTTCTTCCAAAAATGATAATCTACGGTGATTATCATTGCAGCAAATTATTAGCTGATAGTAAAAACTTGAAAGGCGCTGAAAGAATCCCTTGAATTGGGTTGGGCCAACTCAAACTTGATGATTTTCCTTCTGGTTTTGATAAAATTCACTGGAATCAAACAGATTTTTCATTAAGAGATGTCAGATTCAATCATGCAAATCCGATTAACTTGTTAATATCTGATACAATCAATTTTTTCTCATTCTAAAAGAACATTTATAACGTATTATCATCTATTTTTTAATTCGGAGGAGTGTTTTCAAATTGACGTCTCTCAGTATGGCTAAACTCGAATGATAGTGTAAAACTAGAACTAACACTAGACCTAGCACTACAAAATATTTCATACAAAGGGTAAATAATAATATTTTTACTCACCTCCGGAATAACCTTGTGTATCCTTCCTCTATTAATAATCTTATTAGACTTAACAATGTAAACAATACACTCAACAACATTTTTTAAGGTTATGTTTCTAAGGTTACCATGGCAACCACTATTTGAAATACAAACATTAATACAAGCAACAACAAATGGAAATTGTCAAAAAAGTAAAGGTAGGAACATAAAAAAGTTTTTAAAGGATAATTTACAAAAAATAGTGAACTTTCAAAAGGTAAATATTATTGTGTACTTATAATATCCAAATCTATACTATTTCTATTCTTATTCGAGGGATTATCTAATAATTTTGTTATTCCGAAATAAAGTAGACGAATCATCAATTTTTGACGATTTTGCGTTAGATATTAAAGTAATAATTAATGCTTTACTAAAAATAGAGGTGGTAAGAGGTAATTTGTTATTTTTTAATGGGATTTTCTAAATTTTATTAATATATTTTTAAGGTTATATCTATTCCCATGGTAACCATGATTTGATACAAACTTTGTTAGCAACTGGTTGGAATTGTCAAAAAAGTAAGGTTAGAAAAGATATAAAAAGAATCCGGATAAATATTATTTTGTGTTGGATTTTATAACAATAATTGATACACAAAGATTTAAATAATAATATTTTTACTTACCTCTGGAATAACCTTGTGTAGCGTTGAATCAATCTGAAAGCGAATATTTTATTGAATTAGAACTAAAATCTAACTTTAAAATTACAAAGTTTAAAAATTTCACCTCTCACAGGATTTTATACTAACCTGGTGTAATTGGAAATGTTTTATTCCACTTAACAATAAACAATAACACAGAATAACATGACAATACAATAATATTCTGTGACAATACACTCAACAACATTTTTTTAAGGTTATGTTATATCTACTACCATGGCAACCACTATTTGAAATACAAACAATACAAGCAACACATGGAAATTGTCAAAAAAGTAAAGTTAGGAAGAACATAAAAAAAGTTTTTAAAGAATAATTACAAAAAAATACTGAACTTTCAAAAGGTAAATATTATTGTGTACTTATAATATCCAAATCTATACTATTTCTATTCTTATTCGAGGGATTATCTAATAATTTTGTTATTCCGAAATAAAGTAGACGAATCATCAATTTTTGACGATTTTGCGTTAGATATTAAAGTAATAATTAATGCTTTACTAAAAATAGAGGTGGTAAGAGGTAATTTGTTATTTTTTAATGGGATTTACATTTTATTAATAAATTTTTAAGGTTATATCTATTCCCATGGTAACCATGATTTGGTAAAATACAAACTTTGTTAGCAACTGGTTGGTGTTGTCAAAAAAGTAAGGTTAGAAAAGATATAAAAAGAATCCGGATAAATATTATTTTATGTTGGATTTTATAACAAATAAGGTAAGAGCTATATAACGTTTCTTTTGATATAATCTGCTAGAATAACTCTGTGTTGGTGCAGAAACACATCGATATTGAAATTGGATTGTTTATTGGATGATAGAGTAGTATGCGTTTATAATTTATATCCAAAGGCTTATCAATAGTCCTTGCGAATGGTGTTTGCACGGATTCCGCACACCGATTGCGACCCAAAATCGTATTTGCCGTCTAATTATCAAACTACTAAATCACGTGTTTACGTTAAACGGCGATTCTATTCGACAACGTTGAAAATCGATATTCAAAATTGTATTTGATATCTTAATAAGATGGGATTTTTCGAAATCTATTGGTTCATTTTGACGGCTTTTAGCGATATTAATAGAAGGGTGAAACTGGAAGCGCGGAGTTTAGACTTTATAATACCGTTGAGTTTAAGGCACTTTAATGGACCTCTAAGTGGTAACTGGTGGAACTAATACGGTAATGACGAACATAATAATGACGCAACTTCGTAAACGGTTGGTTTGGACGATAAATTTTCAGTTAAATTGTATTTTAATATTTTTTTACTTGTTACTATGGCATTAAAGGTTGCAGAAAATTGATTTTGGTTACGTAGCCTTATCGAAATTTAAATAATGCGGAATGAAGGCCGATAGTCCGATCTTATCGTCGTAATAACGTTGCCATAGTGTAGAGAAATTGGCCAATTTGCGTGTAGATACAGCGCTGAACGCAACTCGCATCTGCTCAAAGTCTCCTATATTATGTAAATTAAGTTTGCTCCACTGAAATTGTTTAGGAAACTCCGAGGGCATAACATCGTACTGTTCCTGTATTAATTAACCCTCCTTTTATCTTTTCCATTTTTAACAAATATATTTACTTATCGTAACTTCAAGAAACTAATAGGTTTTTATTTATTTAAAAGGTACGATTAATGAAGACGGGCGTTAGTATTTTTATTTTCCGTGTTAATAATGTAAAAGATGTTCGTATTCTTCGATGGTAGAGTCTAGGGTGGTAAGCAGTGGCGCCGTCACGTTGTTAAATTATTGTTAGTGCCAATCTTTCGCATCGGGAACTGCATCTTCTACCCAGTCGGATCGGCTTCGCTTCTAAATAATTCAACTAGATCGCTCTCGGAAAATGGACAAGCTTTCCCTCGAGGAGACATTGTTCTGGTTGTCCTGTTGCTGTCCCCTAACGTTTACTTCTTTCTTTCAGAGTTCAACTTTCCCCTCTTTCACAAAATCTAAAGGTCAATATAATCTAATCTTCAAGTTACTAAACTTGTAAATAATTTATTTAATCAATATTTTTTTTACATTAATGATATTGATGATATACAGGGTGATTCACATAAGAACCGACACAGAGCAGGGACATGTAGAGGACAATAAATTAAGATCTCTATACTAAGTTGTACACTTCAGGAGTTATAGGCCTTCAAAGTTGGCTCTTAAATTTTTAAAAAGTTCAATATCTTTGTAATACATTAAGCTAGAAAAACCAAATTTGGTATACATTATGAATAGGGTATAAAGATATTTGACGACAAGGTTTTCTCCATCTTTTCTCCATCACCTTTCATTTTTGAGTTATGATCGATTTTAACACCAAAAGTACCCAATTTTGACATTTTGGGGATTTTCTCTTTATCACCTGAAAATCATTACATCTAAACTAAATTTGTTTATGGATGATGTCTTCTTAGTTGACAATAAACAACTTATTCCTAAAGAAATTTTCTCCATCACCTTTCATCCTTGAGTTATGAGCAATTTTAATACCAAAAGTACTCAATTTTGATATTTCGGTGATTTTCTCTTTTTATCATTAGAAAATCATTATAACTAAACCAAATCTGTTTATGAGTAATGTCCTTTTAGTTCATAATAAACAATTTATTTCAAATAAACTTTTCTCCATCACCTTTAATTTTTGAGTTATGATCTATTTTAATACCAAAAGTACTCAATTTTGACATTTTGGTGATTTTTTCTTTATCACTAGAAAATCATTATAACTAAACCAAATCTGTTTATGGATGATGTCTTTTTAGTTCATAATAAACAATTTATTTCAAAAAAACTTATCTCCATCACAATTAATTTTTGAGTAATGATCGATTTTGATAACAAAAGTACTCAATTTTGACATTATGGGGATTTTCTCTTTATCACTAGAAAATCATTACATCTAAACAAAATCTGTTTATCAATAATATCTTTTTAGTTCATAATAAACAATTTATTCCTAAAAAACTTTTCGTCATCACCTTTCATTCTTGAGTTATGATCGATTTTAAAACCAAAAGTACTTAATTTTGACATTTTGGGGATTTTCTCTTTATCACTAGAAAATTATTATGCCTAAACTAAATTTGTTTATGGATGATGTCTTTTTAGCTCATAATAAACAGTTTATTCCTCAAATTACGTACAATTTCACAGCCGACTACTGAATTTTCGATGATTTTAAGTAGCATTAACAAGATACGCGTCTTTAGTTTTTTGAGTTTTTTATGAAAACGACAATGTTTTTTAAAAAATAGTAAGAGTAAAAAAAGTTTTAGAATTAAATTCCACATGAAATGAGGTAATAATGTATTAAATCCACAAAAAGGTTAAAAAAATCTGCCAAAATTTAGGGAACCATCACCCTTAATCAACCCTTTGAAATGCTTCAATTGGTCTCAACTTGCTACCAATTAATACCCCATATGTATATTGATGATATTTTAGTTTTCATTAATGACGACACTATCATACATGACCTACACAATTACTTAAACACGTTACACAACAACCTACATTTTACAATAGAATTAGAGAACAATGACAAGATAAACTTTCTTGATTTGACGCTTGTCAAACATAATGGCGCTATAGAATTTTCCATCTTTAGAAAGCCCACGCAAACCGATTGCATAATTACATATGGCGAGCTTTAAACTCAAACTTAAAACAAGGAGAAGTAGAAAAAGAAACTAGTATTATTCAGCAGATTGCACAATACAATAACTACCCATTGCATACAATAAACAGGCTAATTAACAAAATCCAACATAAAACTACAATACAGAATATAACTACACTACAGAACCCCAACACTTGTAACAACAACACATATCGAGCCATTACATACCCAGGACACATATCTTACAGACTCCAAAAGATTTTCAAACAATTTGACATTAACCTTACTTTCAGAACCAAACATAACATAAAGAACCTGCTAGTGAATAATAAGGACAAAACTAATTTAATGCAGAAAAGTGGTGTGTACCAACTACAATACGGTTCCTGTGAAGCTACTTACATCGGCGAAACGGGGAGAAATCTAGGACAACGTATAAAAGAACATAAAATCAAAGAAAATTCAAAGTTTGGAACACACACCATTTTCAATAAGCATGACTTCCAAGAAAATAACAACACCATTTGAGTAAAGGCCCACATATGGAACTACTAGAGACCTACGAAATTAATAAGTTTATTGCTACAAAACCAAACATCACATTACTCAACGAACAATTAACACAACTGCAACTATTCGCAACTCTATAGCTGCCTGAAGGGCCCTTTTTTAAGAAATTCCAAAAAACAGAAGAAAAACCACTAAATGCTCCCTACAAATCGAGAGGTTGAAGTTGGGCACTCATAACGTCTACCAAATTTGGTTTTTCTAGCTTTATGTATTACGAAGATATTCAATGTTTTAAAAATTTAAGACCCAACTTTGAAGGCCTGTAACTCCTCAGGGGTACAACTTGGTATAGAGATAAGTTGCGTTAAATCATCTTAATTTATTGTCCTCTACATGTCCCTGCTCTGTGTCGGTTCTTATGTGAATCACCCTGTATATACCGAGAATTTCATATAATTCGCAATATATTAATGCAGTAACCATAGTTACCAAACTACTATCTATGCACTTGCACTGCCCTACATAAAATTCAACATAGCTTAATAGTACAAGCACGGCTAAACCCGAATGTTTCTGGTTTTAGTGTTAGTTCTAGTGGCATGTAGCGCTAGTCAGTATAAGATATCATTATGTTGTATATTTTTATTGAACTAAAACTACAACTAACACTAGTCCTAGAACTAGAATAATTCGGGTTTAGCCGTCCTAAGAGACGTGCGGCTAAACCCGAATGATTCTAGTTCTAGGTCTAGTGATAGTGTAAAACTAGAACTAACAGTAGACACAAAAATAGCTTTGAAAAATTACACTGTGGAAACGTGACCTCATTTTCCTCGTAAGTTCATTAATTTCTCCATATCATTTATTTTCAATTACAAAAATCAATGCGATCATTCTTCTTTGCTTTAGAAATGATTAAGCTTAAACCTAAAAATAAACGTTTCGTTGTCTAACAAAGATTTGGGCTTTCCCGGTTTGTAACTTTTTTTAACACAAAAGAAATGTGTAAATAAACTCAAT